AGTTCCTGTGGGGCTGGCAGCAAGGTGACTTGAATCTTTCTGGATTCAAGTCTCCTTTGAGCGAGCAGGCTCCTCTTTCACAGTAAATATCTGCACCCATCAGTAAAAGAATAATAAAAATAGCCAAAGCATCATGCTAAGTGCTTTATTCATCTTATATAGTTTAGTTCTCACATCAGTCCACATCAATCCTCTCAGTAAGTTCCATTACTATCCCGATTATATAGATGAAGAGAGAATCAGCAAGATGTTCATGATCATAGAGCTAGTAAATTGTAAAGTCAATATTCGAACCCAGAGCTATTGACTTCAAAACTAAGTTCATCTACCACAATACCATGATGCAAGCGGGCCATGGCGGGCTGCCAAGGAAAGGAACCAGAGTGGGAAAAGGTCAAGGAAGCCACACCCTGACGTCCTAAAGTCCTGCCTCCTTGAATTCCCTGAGTAGGAGGAAGTCTTTAACCTGGACACAGAAGCCACCTTGGCTCCAAGCAGAAGCTGCTAGAGCAGGTGGCCTAAGGAGATCGAAACTCCAAGAAGGCTAGTGGTGGGAATGAGGCAAGCAGAAGTCCATGGCTTCATCACAGGGTATCCACACTGACCAGGTGCTGCTGGCCGTCAACCACCTGCCTGCTGGCAGGCCACATGGCCCTGCATGCAGAGCAGCCAGACCCTTACCACTTTCCTCAGTCCTACTCTCAGGTCACTTCTTCTGGTAGCCCCAGCCCCATCCCCAGGACCCTGGCACAGGCTGTGGGCTCAGCTATCTTGGGCCCCAACCTCTGTTGCAGCCCTTCTATTCTGGGGTTACCTTGTCTGTGGACCTGAAACCAGAGTCACTGTGTATAGCCACTACTTCCTCCCTTTCATTCCTGGAAAGTCCTAAATGCTGGCAGACTTGAGAGGTTCCAGAGCTGAAAATCTTGCTCATGCAAAGCCCTGGGGTGGAGCCGGGAGAGAATTCTGATTCTGCTCCTGGGTACTTGAATGACATAGGACAGGTCACTTCCCCTCTCTAGGCTTTAATTTCCATATATGTATAATAATGGACTTTGACTCAAGACTTCCTAAGGGCCTGTCTTGCTTTAATTGCTCAAGTGGGAATGCTGCTGCTGGAGCTTGGGCCTGGAGGCAGCTGAGCTGCCATTCTACTTTGGGCTCCTTTTCACTCTTCAGAAGTTTCCGGCGTCACATACATTGCATCCCTGCCTGTCAGCCAATGTGTTTGGAAGCAGTGAGGCAGGAGGCTCCTCAGAGGCAAATCGTCTCCTGGTGTTCTTGAATTAAGAGGAAGAGCATACTGTGGTTGCCTTTGCCCCTCCTCCACTTTGAGAGGTACTCTTCTTATGACCAGTTCAGCCCAAACCACAGCCATCTTTCTTCCTTAGATCATCCTGTCCACCTAGACTGCCTTCTGGTCTAGTGAGAAAGTGGGAATGAGTTAGGGGACATTTATAGGGAGCATTTCTTGCCCATGAGGCCAGGAAATGACTGCCATTTAGTGCTCCTCCAGGGACAGCCAACAGCCATGTGTACACAGGCAAGGCGACTGCAGAAGGCCAAGGTATGGGCAGCCCAGATTCATTTTTATGTGGTTTTAGGCAAACACCCTGCTACTTGAAGCCTCTTGGGTGGGTAGCTGGCAGATGTTGGTGTCATTTTTAGGGATCTCAGCAGTGTGTGGCCAAGCTGGTAGGGAGATAGGGTTGGATGGCTGGCAGATGGCCTTCATTCTAGGGCTCAGGTACCTAGCCCCTCTCCAGGCCCAGAAATCTCTCATCCATGCAGAAGCCTTCCCACCGGCTCCAGAGCCCTGAAATACTTCATGAAAGGCTCCTGGGTCCTGACTGGGGAGAGGTGTGTCTGCCCCTGGAGCTCTCCAGACTGTGGGCTTTTTGCAAACTTAGAGGAAACTGTTCCAGACACCTCTGCTGTGCCACCCCCTCCCCTGCCAGAGTTTGCATGCACCTCCTTCTCACCCCCACTTAGCTCACCTGAGGAGGATCTGCTCTGGCAGGGTCCAGAGGAGAAGGAAGGAGAGGATTGCAGGAAGGCGAGTTGTCATTTCGTAGGGACCCTGGAGCCCTTTCTCAGCCTGGCTGCCAAGGTGAGAGGGGATATCCTGCAGGGACCGTTGAAAGTACAGAGCCTTCCTCCAACTTGGTCAGCTCACAAGGAGCCCGCGGGGCTGGGTTAGGAGTTGTGAGCGCTCTCTTTCTTCTCTGCTCTCTTCTCCTCTGCCCTGCTATTATCAGTCAGGGGCTAGAACTCTTCCCCCTGGAAATGATCCTGACACAAATAACCCTACTGGCTCCTGCTCTGGCTCGCCTGGGCTCCGGAGGGCCTCAGCTTGCCAGCCAGAGCTGGAAGAGATTCTCTTTGGGCAGCAATCACTCTCCAAACCCTGGAGAGTCTTGGAGGGGAGGGGGAAGGGAGACTGGTAGGAAGACGTTTCCCTCCCTCCCGCCTCCCCCCAGATGCACCCTCTGAAAGCAGCAATTTAAAGGCACAGTCACCAGCAGCTGGAATGGGGTTTGGAGTGCATCCTGTGCTGGAGAAGGGCTGGGACTGCCGCTGCCACCTGGAGAGGGCCTGAGGTGTTCTGTCCAGCTTATAATTCTCCAGCTGGAGTGCATGCAGGATGCTCTGCTCTCTGCTTCCCCGGCAGCTTCCCTTTTAACCCAGAGCCAAGCCAGGGCTGAACTGTAAAGTTCTAATGATTTTTATAAGTGGTAAAAATACCTGAGAGGAGGCACTGGGTATTCTCAAGCTGATAATTTCAGGTCTGAGAGGAGGTGAGGTAGAGGAGGCCAAAGGCAAGGGTAGATTTTCTTCAACCCTCTGGATGGAGGCATAGGGGATGGAGGATATAGAGGAACCTCGGATTCCTCCTCATATGTGGTCTGCTTGCCTGTCAGTCTCTTTGTCTGCCTGTCTGCCTCAGCTCCTTCATCCTTGCAGATGTGCGTCCTTTTTCCTTTCTGCTTCCCTCCCTCAGGTTGTCTCTGGTAAGCCTGGCTGGCCCTTTGTAGCTCTCGAATCCTTTCTCCAAAACCCTTTCTCCAGCCTCCTCGGCTATGGGTAAGCAATAGGTGTTACTGTCAGGGCAGGCCTGGCACACAGCAGGCTTTGCAAGCTTCGGAGGAGTCAAGGGGGCCAAGAGCAATGACCTAGAGGCCAGCAGCCCTGGACAGAGGAGAAAGGCAGGGAGAGTGGCCATCTCCTCTCTTGCCTCTGCCCATTTGCTTACAGCATCCCCTGACGGACCCTTCCTCAAACTTGCCCATGCATCATCAAAACTGTTCTGGGACTTCCCCAAGAAGCCCTCCCTTTTCCCCTCTTTTGCTCTATTCTCTGCCTCCCTCTCTCCCTGAAGCTTTCCTTCACCTATCTTCTCTCCATCTCCATTTCCCTCCCCGTTTCTCCTCTGTGTCTCATCTTCTATGTCTGTCTCCTTCTTTTCTTTCGCCCTCACTTTCTCTCCATTCCTATTTTTTTCTCAACCTCTCATCATCTCCATGATCTCACTCTCTCCTCCTAAATCATGACACTGAGAAGCCAACGGTTTTCATTTCTTCTTCAGTGGAAACTCACACATCCCCTCTGCTGAGTTCTGAGTGTGTGCTGGGGGGACATGTCCATGGCACTTTATAGAGGTCAATCCCAGAGCTGCTCACAGCCTCCCAGCCTCACCAGAGAGGGATTTGTGGGGATTGCAAGCCCCTCAGCTGGGGCCCATTGGGTGCATAGAGTGATTAATGAGACAAGGCAGTGATGGGTGGAACTTGTGCTGCATCTCTCTTGTGTCTGTGTAATTATTAAAGAAGAGGAATTTTTAAACCACAAATGAAAGGGAAGATAATTTTAAAGAATACATGCTGAAATGTTGATGGGGGACCTGGGCTTTTGGAATCGGAGCTGGAAGCATTACAAGCCTCAAATAATGTTTATATGGCCAATAAATACAAAGCACTAATTTTCCTAAAAACATCGTTAGCAGTCTTTTTCTCTCCTCTCCCTCTTTCCTTGCTTTCTGTTAGCATCACAATCTTTATTCCAAAGGCAGGAACCAAGCCTTACTAAATTTCCCAGGGCAGGACTCCAGGCTAAGGAACTAAGGGCAGGTGGGGATGGGTGGTTTGGGAGACACTTGTCTTCTCTTTTCAACTCACTCTTTTTTACAAACCTAATCACGTCACTTCTGCTGCCTCAACTGTTCCCTACTGCACTTAGGCTGAGGTTCAAGGTGCTTCATGATTTAGTCACTCTTCTTGTCCCACTGATGCATCTAGACTCGCCTGTCTCTCCAGCTTTTGCATACTTTCACATATTGTTCCCTCTACCAAAGCACTCTTCCCTCTACTCTTACTCATCCTTCTAGAATAAGTTTTGTCACTTTCTCATGGAGGACTTTTTGAACTGCCCTTACCTCTTCTCAGGTCTGGGTTAGCAGACCTCCAATGTGTTCCCAAATGACCCTGGCCTTCTCCTGTCCCAGGACCCCTCACATTCCATTACAGTGCGTACTTACTTGCCTCTCTCTCTCACTATTCTACGAGGCTATACCATGAGCTTCCTGTATTATTCACCAAATCCCCGGGGCCCAGCCCAGAGCATGGCATATTATAGGCAATTAGCATACATATGTTAAAAGATGCATCCAGAGATGCTTTTAACTGTGCCTCTGCATCTTTGTAAAACAAGAATGAGAAATTTGACACACAGAAGGCCAGCATGAGGTAATGGTAATAAGGAGAAAGGAGGAAGCGATTTTCCTTTCCTTGTCCTTTAGGCCTGTAGCATCACACTCAGTCATCTGGAATTCTTGGCTAATGGAAGACATAGGCCCCTGAGGATGGGTACATTGTTTTGGTGTCACCTTCTGTGTGCCCAGTGGGATCCTTGAATGCTGAGAGCAGAGCAGGATCAGCTTGCTGGGAAGAAAGATCCCTTCTTATGAGAGGCTGTCTCATTGACCAAATGTCTGGCTTTTCTAGGCTGCTGGAAGTGGACTCTTTAGGAGAAGAAAGGAGGAAAGAGAAGCAAAGAATTGGATAGGTTGCTCCTAGGAGTTGATAAGCAGCAGGAGAGATGCCTATTCGAGAGTTCCCTGTACCAACAAGAAGCTTTACTCTCTCACGATGACCTCAGTATTTTCTGGTCTGAGAAAGGTACAAAGTTGTGTCCAGTCTTTTTTCTTTTTATTATCAATTTATGGTGTATATGAATCTTCATGCACCAAAACGTATTACACCCATTTCCTGTTTTGCAATTAATTGGCTGTCATATTGGTCCAAGGACTGGCATTGTTGAGGTTATGTAGAACTACCACAAGCAAAATGTTTTTTTCCAGGATGAAAGATACTATTTCATCCTGAAAAAAAGAAAAAAACTATGGAGCTGCTAAAAATGGATTAAGCACATTTTCATAAATGTTTCATTCCAGGAAAAAGTGTGTCACAATTCAGCCCTATGTAAGGCAAGTTGCAATTGCACCCTCTTGACAAGCAAGTTTCCTGAAACCTCAGTCTGAGGAGCAGTGTCTGTGTTGGGATGGTATTATCTGGTGAATTCAGTGACTTCTAGGGCTTAATTTTGGGGGCCAAGTTGAAGAATCATTTGGCATACCTTCCTAGATCCCCTCTCCGCCATTTTGGCTATCCCACTTATTGAAGTAGAAAGCAGTCTGAGGGGTACCTTGAAGAGCAAGTTTTGCCCCCAATCTGAGGAAATTCCCAGAGCATTAGCTACTTTTCAGAAGCATTGGGGTAAGAAGTTGTGTGCATGCGTACGCGTGTGTATGTGTGTGTGTGTGTGTGTGAAATAAAAGACAGATGCCTTTTTAAAAAATCTGCTGAAGAGGACCACGGAATTTTAGTTGAATCTCAAAAGAGCAAGGCTGCACCTTTTTGCTATGTGTGTTTTTCTTTTCAGGGTCATTTTCAACTTCCAAGGATGTGACAGTTTACTTGAAAGTGAAGGCTCAATCTCTGGTGCTGAGAGAGTGCTGCTGGCAGAGGCAGGAAGCCCTTTCACCCTTCAGACTCATAGTGTGCATGCATAGTGTGTACAGGTTGTAGTGGCGGTAGGAGTTTCGCAGTCCTTGATTTAGCTTGAGGAAGGAAGAAGAAAAAAAATGATAGATGTGTTAGACATGTTCGGTGCTCTCTTAAGACATGGATTTTGCAGACAAAGCCTGGGGTATCTAAACTTGCGAGGGGAGCCCATGGAGAAGTTGATGGAACTCCTCCCCAGTCCTCAAAGACAAACCAGGTACCAGCACCATGATAGCACTAGCGAGCACTGATCCTGTCTCTGTTGCTGGGCTGTTTAGTGTCCAGAGGACAACAGAAAGATTTAGCTCCAGCCAGGGAAGGTATATTGACTAGCACCCAGGTATACACCATTTCTCCCCTGCTGGACCCTCAGAATCATTACTCATCCCATCAGTCACTTTAGAGTAATTCACTAGGTGTACAGGAGAGTTATTAAGGTTTCCACAGATCTTCCATTGACTATCCTTATCTCTTGGCTCTCATAACTCTGAAACAACCTTTTTCAGAGATAATAGGGCCTTATCATTCCTCTCCTCAAAAGTAAATTGTTTTTCACTTCTGATCATGCTCATGAATATCTTATTTCACTTATTTGTGGATTGTGATCATCTATGCCGTATAAGTGTGAAGACTTTATATAACATAAAAGCAACAGAATTTGGAAAGGTGAATAAATATTTACTGTGTGGAATGGATAACTTTCCCACTAATTAATACATGAACTCGACAAATATTTATTGAGTGCAAATCATACACCAAATATTCTAGGTGCTAGAGATATAACAGTGAACAAAACAGATGAAGTTCATCCTTCATGTAGCTTACATTCTAGTGGGATAGTAAAGTACAGTTGAACCTTGAACAATGTGGGGGTGAGGGGCACTGAAATCCTACAGTCAAAAATCTGCATATAATTTTTGTCTCCCCTCAAACTTAACTACTAATAGCTTATTTTTGACTTGAAGCCTTACCAATAACATGAACAGTCATACACATACCATGTTATCATAACATACACATATTTTGTATTTTATGTGTTATATACTGTATTCTTACAATAAAGCAAACTATAGAAAAGAAAATGTTATTAAGAAAAACATAAGAAAAAGAAAATACATTTATAGTACTGTACACATTTATTGAAAAAAATACATGTATAAGTGGACCCGCACAGTTCAAATCCTTGTTGTTTAAGGATCAATTGTAATTCTTTCTCCAAGAAGATTCTGCATGAGTCATCAACAGTGGTACAGGGCTTCAGTACCTCTCAGAATATTTGAATTGGGCATTTATTACATGGCTTAGAAAAAAGAGACACTACTTTTTAGCAGGCAGAAATGATTTTCATTTCCACCAATCCCAGAATCTGTCTGCTAGTCGCATCACACAGGTCATCACTTGCTAGACACCCTTCCAAGAAGCTTATCCTCCAACAATCCAACCCTAAACAGAATACACATGTTCAAGTCCCATGATATCTCTGGTAATGCATGCATATTTGTCTGTGACTGCTAATAAGCACCTTCTTCACTAGGAGAGTTAGGAGGATTAACAGCACTCAGCACTCATGCTGTGGTGCTTCTCTAAGTGGTCTCCAATTTTTTAGAATTCTCTCTCTCTCCCCTTCTCCCTTCCTTTCTCCCTCCCTCCCTCTCTTCTGTCTTTGCCTTTCCTTCTGTCTTTTTTTTTTTCTGTTTATCATGAATAAATTCAATGCTGCCATAGGACATTGGACACTAAAGTAAAAAAAAGTTAGTTGGTGACTACATAGAAAGCTGAATTTGCATTAATGATACCAATCATATAGTTATAGTTAAATAATCAGCAAATTTTATATGACAAGAATTAGAAATTTAACATTAGAGATACACTAGTTTAATCTTGCACTACTGTAGTGTTCACCATCTGAGTAAACACATGCGAGCGCATACAGACAAACACACACAGAGCTCTCCCTGATAATCTGAAGATAATGCCCCTGCTGCCAGCAATATGTGAGTGTGGCTGTGGAGTGTGATGAAGTTGGGGTGTGATGAGTAGTCCTTTTCATCCTGAGTGCAAGTGGGTCTTGTTCTTTGATTTGTGGTTGTGGCTTCTACATTTACTGCATTAATGAAGCCCTTTTAGCCACAGTCACTTATGTAAAAAATCGGAATCCTTAGGTAAGTTGCCACATTGAATCACTTCTTTTTGTACAGAGTGGGTTAATTCATTTTGTAAAGTTATGCTGCATATGGCCCAAAGCAACAGATTCTAATCAATGACAGGTGCTCCCAAAAAGAGTCACCAGAGATGCTAACCAGACAATAAGCTACTCTAAACCTTAGCAGATCATACACACCAGCTTTTGCTGCCACCCACTCCTGCAACTGTTAGCAACATTATTGTTTGACATTGAGAATGTTGCTCTGAGAACTCCGACTTCTCTTTGTTGCCCATTCATTGTCAGTTTCTTTCTGTAACCTTCACATTGCCTTTCTACCATGCATTATATCCCATGTGTTCTATAATCCCCTCACTTTCCACAGCAGTGTGCCCACTGCTGAGTCAAAGGAAGGTGCTGTTTCACAATTGCAGCCCTAGTACAACCAGCCTCAATTATGGTCCAGTTTTAGGGGAGACAAATAAGATGCTGAGGTCTTGAAGTTTCATGCAAGCAGTGGCACAGAGCCAGGGAAGTCTGCTCAGTTGTATCACCTTCAGCAAAAGCACTTGAGGGAACAAGTTATCTTCCATGTATAGAACCAGGCCTATGAAATAGTTCAATGGAGGAGAAGAGGACCATTTAGAAGGTTCAGTGAGTAAGTATGAACAGTTTTTCACACCTCAGGGAAGTGCCCAGGAGGAAATTGGAATCATGGGTAGGGGAGCTCAGCTCATCCTGAGCTGCTAGAGAATGACAACTTGAAGTGGCTCTTTTTTGATGGCTCAGATTCTGGCAAAATGTTTGCTGAGATTCCATTCAAGATCAAGTAGCAACCAACAGCAGTCAGAAGATTCCTAGAGAAAACTAAACTAAGGAGATATGCCTCAGACCAGAGATCAAATCCCGGAGAAGCTGTTAATTAGCGTTAATTAGTGCCTGAGGAGTCTTAGCTCATGTTAATTACATCGATTGAATCCTGGGGTAGAACTGAGTCCACCAAAGGCTAATAACACCAAAGGGCCCTTCTCATCTCCTTATTCTGAGGATTCTCTTGTCCCCATGGAAGCTGGAAAGGAGTTCTGGTTATTGTGGAGGAGAAGTTTCAGCATTCAATGCTTCCAACGGTCAGATTTAGAGATTCTTTGTTCCAAGTTGGTGGGATTCATAACTATTATTTGATACATTTCAGTATCTTTATTTTAACTCCAGTTTCAATCAGATCTGATATTATTGATCTTTTCTAGATCCATTTTGCAGATGGGAAAATGAAAACCTACAACACTGTTTATCTCTGTCTTTTCTGCCTCGCATCCTGTACCTCAACTCTCATTCTGCCTTCACTTTCCCAAATATAACTATATTATGTTTACAAGTTGGTGAAAATCAAGCCAACTAATAAGACTGAAACAGAGATGGAACTAGGCTTCTTTTTGTAGGTAGTGTCCAGGAAATGTTTAGATGCCTGTATCATGTACAATTCCATATTCAGATTCTGTCCTTTCCACTGCTCTGCACCTACTCAGATCTCTACGCACTTGTTTTCCTAGGACTCAAAGTCCACTCTGGAGGCTTTTTCAGGAAGAAATAACACAGTTATCCAGCCTGAATTCCACAGAGTTTTGCCATGAAATAGGCCTTTCCCCACAAAGTTCAAACAAGTTGGCCATGAAGTCAGGAGACAAAGCCAGGTAGTCTGTCCCTGCAACTAGCGGCTCTAGTCAACTGAGAACAAACTGGATCCTTAAAACATTAAGGGATGGTGAACAGTCAGTCCACATTCAATACTTTTTTCCAAATCAAACTTTGCTATTGTTAGTGGTAAGGTTGTCTCCATCCTAGTGAGCGAATTCTTCCAACCACCAGACAAATCATAGATGAAATGAGCACAGTAGATATTTTTTCCTGAAGAGCATGAGTCTTCTCTGCTCTGTGTCACTGTTTCCTGCCCTCTTCAAACCTACTCTGTACCTGAGCTGAGTAGAAGGAAAATGTAGTTGATTCACAAGTTCCCTTTAATGTCTGTACAGAAGCTTA